GACCACCAGGCACCTCATGCACACCTGCAGGACCCGACCAGAGTGCGAGACGGTGCCCTAGAGCCCCCTGGGCAGGCCTCTGGTTCCCTGTGATTTGGGTACACACCTGGTCTTACCAGAAACTTCTATTTGAACGTTGGAGACCCCTGAGATTATAGTTGCCTAGTGCATCTGCCAATCTCAACACCCCAAGCCAGGGTCACTCTTATCATGATGATGCCTCATTCTGGGTAGGTCCCTGCCCGCCACATGCCCTCTGGACCCAGGTGGGGTTCTAGGGAGAAGCCCACTCCAGTGTACTAGGATGCAGGGAATTCAGCATCCTGGATGTTGGAGAAATGCCCCCTGGTGGTAGGAGAGCTCAGGAAGTCACCACCCGGGGAAAGCAGCGTTGCACTTTGTCAGTCCTTGGAGGAAAACCATGAAATGTGAGTTGCATGAGGCCACAGCCTCAAAAATGCGTGGGATTGCAGCCTTGGGACGCCATGCATGTCTTCCTGCATAAACATCCCAAGCCGAGGGTGCCCACTGTGCCAGCTGGGGTGGGAGGAGGTGCCTGTGCGCCCACCATGCCCATGAGGGTAGTTGGAGGACGTGGGCCCTTGAATCAAAATGAGATGCTGCAGGGCGTGACCCTGGGACCTTTAGGCACCCTGGGCATGGGCCTGGGCTGTCCAGATCTGTCTGCCCCTCCTGCCCACTCCCTCTGGAGCAAGGCATGGCTGCGCCACTTGCTTGGCCAGTGGATTTCCTTTGGAGCCACACCAGGTCCCAGCTTATGAGGAATGTGGGGACAGATATCAGTGGAGCTTTGGGGGACCTGAGCAGCCTCAACATGTGCCTGCTTCTCCTCGGGTGCCTCATGAAGGCTGCCCCATGCAGGGTTGCAGATTCACAGGCTATGCAGAAACTCCATGCACCAGAATGAGCATGTGCAGAGTCCTGGAGTAGGGGGCGGGGGGCAGAGGAGACAAGGACCCCGGGTGGGGAGGGGTTCTGGTGAACTGACCTGCCTTCAGCTGAAAACCAGGAGCGGGGAGAGTTGTGGACCTTGAGGGGCCTTTCGCAGGGAATCTGGCATGTCCTATAAGCAAAGTCATCTGCAGCTCCTGCGACCCATCTGTTATCCAAGTGGAACTTACTAGGCATGCCCAGAGACAGGACCATACAACCCTCCGAAAAGGAAAAGCAGATGAGGGAGGCCGCGTGCTTTTGTAAAGTGCCTGGGAGGGCTCAGGAAGATGCCTCTGATGGGGGAGCCCTCCCCCACCACCTCCGCCCCCTGCCCTGCATGTGGATGCCTCCCCCACCGCAGTCTGCCCAGGGCCCACCAGCAGGGGTCAGCATGGAAGCTGGCTTGGGGGCTTTGCTGAAGACCAGCCGGCCCCACTTGGAGGTCCAGCTGCCAGAGCCCAGGGGATGCCAGGGGCTCACCAGCCATGCCACGTGATCCCCAGAGGGACATGGACATCTCTCCTTTTCTTTCCTCTTTCTCCTCATTTCCTCCAGTCCTGCTGACGTGGGCTGGCAACACCTTTCCCTGACTTATGCACGCGTTTCTTTAGGCCCGTCAATCACTACCTCCATTCCCCTTCCCTTCTCCACTGGATGTATCATTTACGGGTTTTTCGAGGGGCATTTTTACTGGGACATGATCTTGCAGTGTGCGGATTACTGTTTCGTGCCCCTGCATTTTATTTTTGTTGCTTAGGTGAGATTCACGTGTAAAATTAACCATTTTTTTTTTTTTTTTAAAGATGACCGGGAAGGGGATCTGAACCCGTGGCCTTGGTGTTATCAGCACCACACTCTCCCAAGTGAGCCACGGGCCGGCCCGCTAAAATTAACCATCTTAAAGTGAATACTTCAGGGGAATCATGTTCACAATGTTGTGCAACCACCACCTCCATCCAGTTCCAGAATATTCTCATCACCCCTAAAGGAAATCTGCATCTGTTCGCAGGCATGTCCCGTTCCTCCCTGCTTTCTGTCTCTCCGGATTTGCTTGTTCCGAATATTTATATAAACAAGATCATGCAACATGTGGCCTTTTGTGACTGTTTTTTTCCACTCAGCATCAGATATTTGAGATTCATCCTCATTGTGGCACAAATCAGTGCTTTATTCCTTTTTATGGCTTGAATAATATTCTACTGTAAGGATAGACCATATTTTTTTTAATCCATTCAGCAGTTGATAGACATTTGGGCTGTTTCCACCTTTGGATTCTAACAAGTTAATGCTGCTGTGAACATTTTTTACGGGTATTTGAATAGCTCAGCCTATACCTGGGAGTGGAATAGCTGGGTCACAGGGCAACCGTATGCGTATGTTTAACTTTCTGGGGAACCACGCACGCTTTTCTCCAGCCACTTGTGCACCTGAATTTTTTTTTTTTTGTGTGGTTGGCAGGTACAGAGATCTGAACCCTGGACCTTGGTGTTATCACCACCACGCTCTAACCAAGTGAGCTCACTGGCCAGCCCCTGCACTTTTAATTTATATAAACAGTTCGTGCTTTAGATCTCATTCTATTTGACTTTATTCACCAAACACTAGGGTTATAAGGTCCATCCGTGTTGCTCTGGGTGTCCCAAAATCCTTGCGTGTACCTGTCAGGCAGCTCCCCCCTTGGTGAACCCACCACTTCTTGTCCACCTTATCACAAGCTCAGGTGTTTCCAATCCCCCTTCTCCAGCTTTAAGATTTAATGTCTGCTCTGCTGGGTTTTGGATTTGTTTGGGGCCTGTTTCTCCTTTCTTTCAGCCTATTTCTCCCTTTCAGAACAGGAATATGTACCCTGTGATTGTCCCACCATTGTATCTCGGAAGTAGATAACCTGTTTTGATTTCACAGATGGGAGGGATCTTGAGACTGGACTTTTGAGTTAAAACAAGTTAAAACTTTGGGGATGAAATGAATGTATTTGTGTGTGAAAAGACATGAGTTTTGGGGGATCAGGGACAGAATGCTGTGGATTGAATGGCCCCCCAAATTCACTGAAGCTTAACCCCCACTGTAACTGTCGAGGGTGAGAAGTCCGATGATGGTAAGGTGGAAATTGGTATGGAAAGGTGGGGCCTTGAAGAGGTATCGCACAGATGTGTACGATCAATTATGTTTCAATAAATAAATAAATCATAGTGGAGATAAAGGCACAGCCTTCCCCTGCTCCCAACTTTAGCAGAAACGTCTTCGGCGTTCCCCTATTACGAACAATGAATGCCAGCTTTTAGGCTAAGGTACATCCACTGACTTCTACCTTAGTTTTTCAAAATTGGAAATGGGTTTTGAATTTGTCAAAAGCCTTTTCATTAGTATCATTCTTCTTAGCAAAAGAATTAATACAGTGAATTATATTTATGGGTTTCCTAATATTTAAGCATCCTTGCATTCCTGGAATAGGTCCTACTGGATTATAATGCATTATTGAAGAAGATAATGTTGGATTCTGTCTGCTAGTCTTTCCTTAGCACTTTTGAATTCATATTCACAAGTTGGATTGTCTTCATCTTCTTTTTCGGCGTAATGTGAAATCAGACATGTATTCACATATACTTGCTTCTAGGGAGAATTTGCAAGTCTTTCTCCTTTTTCTACACTGGGGAACAGTCTGGGTAGCATTGGAATGATTCCATAGTTGAAGGTTTGGTGTAATTCCCGAGAACACCACCCCAGCCAGTGGCTTTATCGGAGGGGGATATTCTTTCTTAAATTTCTCCCTTTCTTCTTTGGAATTCGGTCTGTCTAAACCTCAGATCTATACTGGGGTTAGCGTTGGTAAATTCCTTTCTGTAAAAAGTGCTAGTTTTCACTTAAATTCATTTACATCGAGTTTTTTTGTTTTTTATTTTTTGGCAGCTGTCCAGTGAGGGGATCTGAACCCTTGACCTTGGCGTTATAACATCCATGCTCTAAACAGCTGAGCTAACGGCCAGCTCTTGCATAGCGTTGTATACTATCTCCTATGGTTTCTTACACTTTCTCTATTTCAATACATATTTCCTCCTTGTTTTTTCTTGCTTTGTGTATTTTTAATCTCATTTCCTATCTTGATTAGGTTGGTGATGTTTTCCCCCCTACTTTGAATTTTTTTTTTTCAAAAACTGGACTTTTGAAATACTAGTTTTTGTATTTTTCTGATTTTTGACTAATTAATTTCTACTTTAAAATTTTTAGTTCCTTCCTTGTGTCTACTCACAGCTCATGTTTTTCATTTTTTTAATTGGGTGTTTAAATGTCTTGAAAACTCTTTTATAGAGTTTTAGGTTTAAGTATTTGGATCTGCCCCCATGACTCAAACAGCTCCCGACACTGCCGCATTGGGGATCAGTTTCCACATGAGTTATTGGCAGACAACATGTCCAAACTCTATCAAAAAGGATGCAATGAAATTAAAAAAGAATGATTCAGGCTATCTGGAGGCTGTTGAAGCCAGAAGACAGCCAATAGTGTGAGAGGTGGGATCAGAATTGAGGTCCTGAAGGTTGTTGTGAGGCCAAAGGGGAATTTTGGTCAATAACAAAAAGGGGAAGCAAACAATGAGAAGTCAGTGACTAGAGAGGGAAAATTTGAATTTAAAATTTTGTGAAGCTGTAGAGTATTATCTTAGTTTTACTTCTATTTTGTCATGTTAAATAAAAATGATTTGGAAAGGTACAAACCCAATCAAACGTGTTGGTGGTCATCTGATAACTACATCATGAACAATAAAAATGGAGGGTGATCCGACATAAAAAAAAAAAAAAAAGCTTTAAGTATTTATAGTCAATGCATTAGGACCTTTTGTCCTGCCTGGGCTTTGGTTACACCCCATAGATTCAGACAGGTGGGGTCCGCGTAACCGTCAATTGCTAGAAAGCTCAGTTTGGTTTCTGCTTCTCCCTTCACCCGTCTCGCCCCGACGTGGGGCCTTCATCCTGCGTGTGGACACACTCGCTGTCTGCAAGAGGGAAACCGCCACGACTCCGGGTGCAAAGACCAATGCAGGGATTCTGAGATGCTTGCTTCATAAGGATTTAATGATCGTATCCAATCTCAGATGCAGTCAACCGAAGCTCTGGGCTCTGCCTGGGCACCCCCTCAGCCTTCCTGGGCAGCCCCTGACCCCCTGCTCTCTCATCATTGCTCAGCCCCTCCCTGTCCCAGCATCTGGGCATGGGCAGGTGGCCCTCACCTGGCTCCAGAGAGACCAGCAAGATGTGCACGAGATCTGGGGGCCGCAGCTGAGGAAGGACAGGACATGTGGCTCTTGGGGTGGGGTGGGGTGGGGGTCTGGGTTCTCACAACACTGACGGGCTGGCCAGTGTGGTCACAAACACACTAAAGGTGGTCCCCAGAGCTGGGGTGTGGTCGGGAACCGGAGGAGGAGGATTGGGTGTGGCTTCTATGTTCTCAGTTATCCATTTTGAGAAATAGGAGACTCGGGCATAGACGGCAGGGAACATTGGGTGGGAGCAACCGCTGCCCCAGCTCACAACCCCAATCTGCACCCAGGTGTGGTTGAACTCACAGACAAGTGGGCCCCCAGAGTCACCCTGAAAAGGAAGAGAAAGTTTCTGTGAGCTGGGAGTCCTGGGCCTGCCACCTCCTGCACCTGCTGCTCAGGTGGAAGAGGGGTGGCCCGGTTCCCCCCGCGTGCACAGCCGCCTCACTGGCTGCAGCCCAGCACAGAGCCACGAAGCCCCTGTCCATAGTGGGCAGGTATGCCAGCACCTGGGTCCTTTGGGGTCCTTGGGGTGCTTGTCACTTCCCATTCCTCTGTCCCCTCCAAGGGCCCCCACTGGCCCCCATGATGCACACAAATTGGGTGGGACCACCTCACACACGGTCTTCAGGTTCCTGATATCTCCAGCACACAGCATGTCCCGCTGGATGTAGTATGGGTTTCCATAAAGCAGCTGGCACTGGGACAATGGAATCAGGGGGACCTGCACTTCCTGCAGCTCCTTTGAGGATGAACCTGTGTGGAGAGGGGCAGCCAGGTGAGGGCTCCTCACCTGCACACAAATAAGGTCCCTGCTCCCCAAGAACCATGGGAGGAAGCTACCACAATGGAGAAGGCCCACCCACACCTGGAGGATCCCCGCCTGCACCCAGAAGAGCCTCACCTACAAATCGAGGAGCCCAGATCAGATGCCTGGGGAGGGGACAGCATGGGTGGGACAGTTATTGACATTTGTGGCATTCTGGGGTCTCACACCTATGTCCTGAGGCCTGACCCCATGGGTGAGGTCTCTTTCTTTTTCATGAGAAATACTGGGGGCAGGGCAAGGTCCACAAACAGAGCCCCTTCAGTGGTGGGGGGATGCTCCTGGGACCTGCAGCAACATAGCTTCTCAGATAAAGCAAAGTCTTACCCACTGAGGAGGGGCACCCAGTACTGCTGTCCCCAGGTCCTGGAAGGGGCCACTGATCCTGAGGAAGGGTAGAAACAGCCCTGTGTCCCAGGAACCCCCTTGGCGCCAAGAACCCACACCAGCAAATACTAGAGGTCAGCTACGCCAAAGGGGCAGGGCCAAGATTCTCTCCAGAGTCTCAGCAGGTGCAAAACAGAGTTTAGCTTCCCCTGAAGATAGAAGCTGGAGTGTGTAGAAGGCTTCTTCCCAAAGCTGAAGTGCACAGGCTTTGCCTGAGACCAAGGCTGGACCAGGGAGATGCAGAATGCATCCTACCCCAGCACAGGCCTGGCAATCAGTGCTGGGAACAGCAGTTTTCCTCTGCAGGACTGGCAAGAATGTCCACAGGTGTACAGAGAATGCTGAGAGTGGAGGGTGAAGCAGGACCCATGGAAACGCCAGGTCTCACAGGAAGCACAAAATGACAGGAGCCTATCACTGGATGAACCTGAAGCCCACAGAGCACTGAAGGTGGCAATAGCAGAGGAGACCAAAACCCAGTTCGACAACTCACTAGGTGGAACCGCCCCACCCCCATCCCATTAATGGATTGGCAGAAAAAGAGAAGCACAAAATGACAGGAGCCTATCACTGGATGAACCTGAAGCCCACAGAGCACTGAAGGTGGCAATAGCAGAGGAGACCAAAACCCAGCTCGACAACTCACTAGGTGGAACCGCCCCACCCCCATCCCATTAATGGATTGGCAGAAAAAGAGGAGTGTGTGTTTTGGGGTAAAGAGACTTCAGTATTAAATGTTCTTCTTTGATGTCTGGTATCCAACCAAAAATTGTGACACTCAAACATACACACAATGGGGAAAAAACCAAAACAGAACACTAGACCCATTGTCAAGAGATAAAACATCACACTTATCAGACCCATGGATGACTCAGATGTTGGAAGTATCTGACAGGGATGTTAAAGTAACTATGATCAATATGTTAGAGAAATTATTGAAAAGTAAACAACATGCATGAACAAATAAATAATTTAGGCAGAAAGATGCAAACTTTCTACAAGTTAAGGAAAAATCTACTGGAAATGCTAGAAATAAAAACACTATATCAGAGATGAAAAAGTTCTTTGGTGTGGTTACCAGCAGACTGGACACAGCTGAGGAAAAAAATCAGTGACCTTGAAGATAGATCAGTAGAAATAATCCAAACTGAGATACAGAAAGAAAAAGAGGGAGGGAGAACAGAGTATTCAAGTGTGAGACAAACACAGTGTTCCGTATGTGGAGTCAGTCCCAGAAGAAGAGAGAGGACCAGTCAGAAGAAATATGTGAAGGTATAATGACCAAGAAGTTTCCAAAATTAAATACAAAAACCCCACAGATTCCAGAAGTTCAGAGAACCGTAAGCCAGAGTTAAACAAAGAAACTAACACACCTAGAAACATCATAGTCAAATGGCTGAAAACAGAGTAGAAGATAAATCTTGAAGGCAGCTGGAGAGTGGGAAAATACTACACACAGAGGACCAAGGATGAGAGTTACAACAGGATTCTCAACAAACGCTGGGCAGGCCAGGAGAAAAAGGAGCAACCTGCACAACGAAAACAGAAACAGAAGACTGTCGACCCAGAATGTGACGTCTAGTGAAACTGTCTTTTAAAAATGAAGGTGAACTGAAGACTATTTCCAACAAACAAACCTGTAACTCTTATTCATGGGTGATGGAAGTGTAATATGGTACGAACACTTTGGACAATTATTTGCGGTCTCTCAAAACTGCACGACCAAGTAATTCCACAGTTACGTGATGCACGCAAGAAAAATGGAAACTCGTTATGCACAAAAACAATGTAAACGAATGTTCACGAGAGCGTTGTCCACGATCACCAAAAACTGAAACAACCCAAATGTCAATCGATGGAAGAATGGATAAACAAATTTTGCTATGTTCATGTTATTAATGATTTCTCAACAATAAAAGACTTAGTGATACACACAATAACACAAGTCAAACTTACAGACTGTACTGAGCAAAAGGTATCAGACATGAGAAGGTACATACTGTATGTTCCATGTCTATGAGGTTGGAGAACATAAAACACATTATTGGGGATAGAAATCAGAGCAACAGTGGATTTGGAAGAAAAGGTTGACTGCACAACCCTGACAGAAAACGTTCTGAGATGGTGAAAATATTCTACATCTTGATCTGAGTTTGGTTTTATGGATATTTATGCAGAAAAAGAAACCTTTCTGAAAAGTGAAAGCATATCAAAGAAGCCAGAGAAATGAAGAGAATATCAACAAAGAGTAAATAAGTATTGTGGAATTGGGCTACAGGTAACGTTAAGTGAAGCACATAAAGACAGGGGCTGCTTTTCAGTTATTTTTGGTTTCTTTGCCTTGACTGGGGCACTGTTAAAATTGTGGCCCAGGACTTATTTGTTGACTTATGCGTCCCGGCGCAATTGGTTGTGTTATGTATGGATAGTTTTTTTTTACTGAGTTCTGCCAAGGGAAGGCCCTAACCTTGTGGGTGTATCTTGTATGAAGGATGAGGTTACTCCACTGTTAATCTCAGGGTCTTGGAAAGGAAAATATATGGGTCGTGCCAGTCAGCTCAGTCGGTTAGAGTGTAGCCCTGTAACACCAAGGTCAAGGGTTCAGAAGGGTTCGGGTCCCCACATCGGCCAGCTGCCAAAAACAAAACAAACAAAAACAAAAAACTACAGAAAGGAAAATATAAAGGCAGGCCTTAGGTAGAGAGAGAGAAACTTGTTGCTTTTTTATTCAAGGTTGGAGCTTTCCCAAATTGTGGACCTTAGTTCCTGAGGGTCCTCGGATTCTATGCAAAGGGCCCAGGAGTCCATGCATATGCCATGATTTGTCTGTAAAAGATTTATGGAAAGAAGTTCTCTGAGATGAAGAGAGGCAGAGGGCCAGATGGGGCAGGACCGCAGAGGGAGATATAAGTTACTGTCCATGTGCTAATTTCCCTGTTTGAGTGCTGTGTCCATGGGTGTGTATCACATTCTTACAAGCAAACGAACAGGAAAAGAGGACCATGCAGGAACAGAAGGATTTCTCAGTTTTAATTTTTTTATTTAATTTTTATTTTTTTGGTCTTTTTCGTGACCGGTAAGGGGATCACAACCCTTGGCTTGGTGTCGCCCGCACCGCGCTCAGCCAGTGAGCGCACCGGCCATTTCTATATAGGATCCGAATCCGTGGTGGGAGTGTCTCTGCGCTCCCAGCGCCTCACTCTCCCAAGTGCCCCACGGGGTCGGCCCAAATTTCTCAGTTTTTAAACCGAGAATGAGGATAAATCCAATTCTGCACCTCTGGGGGCCAAAGAGAGAGAGATGGACGGACACCAGACATATGACATGACGTTCAATGTCTCGGAAGGGAGAGAGGGCTGGGACGAACTCAAGAAACGTTTCCTGGAATGAGTTCCTTGAAGAATGGGTATGGTCTGGGCCTATAAGAATGCCTGAGCTGCAGGCACCTTCTCTTCCCATCCCATGCGTCCCTGCAGAGATCCACAGACATTTGTGAGATTAAATAGGGGGATCGGTTCTGTTGCTGGGAGGTGGGTGGTCCTGGTTTCAGGTGGACTGAATTGGGCCTTGGGTAAACCCTCTCCTGGATGTGGTTAAAAATGAGAGACTATGGCTAGCTATGGTGAGCCTACTGAGCAGTCAAAGGCTAGAACTTAGTCCTCCTCTCTAAACAGTATTTCTGTACCAGTTAACTAACCCTTCCCTGTCCCCCCAAGATGCACACACACACACCCTTCCCAGCCTCTGGTAGTCACTATTCTACTCTCCACATCTATGAGATCAACTTTTTTAGCTCCCACATATGAGTAAGAACATGTGATATTTGTCTTTCTGGGCCCGGCTTATTTCACTTAACATAATGTCCTCCAGGCTCATCTATATTTATTGTATATTTCAAAATAGCAAGATGAGAATATTTGGAATGTTCCCAACACAAAGAAATGACAAATGCTTGAGATGATGGATTTCCCAATTACCCTGAATTGACCATTACACATTGTATATATATATATCAAATTACCACACACACCCCATAAATAGGTACATCAATCTTTATGTATCAACTAAAAAATAAATAAGGTAATTTTTTTAAAAAAATGAGACTACTGAAAAATATGTTGAAGGATCACTGGATTTAAAGCAACATTCATGCCAATATAATATATACAAAAAATATATAAAATGACAGCATAAGGGATTAAAGAGAAAAATGGAGTTATACTATGTAAGGTGTTTGCATTGTCTATTAAGCAGCAAAACACAAATTCAGGGAACATGAGTTGCATTAGTCCAATTCTCTCTCCTTTCCCACATATATGCCCTTTGCCGCATGTCTTTGTGTTTCTTCCTATCGAGGTGCAGTGTATTTCCCCAATCCTTGGATCTGAATTTTGCCATGTGACATGCTTGGGTGAATGGGGTTTAAGCAGAGGCTTGGAAAAGTGCTTGCATTTCTCTCTCTGTCGAGTCTCCACCACTGCATGTGGACACAGCCTGGCCAGCATGCAGTAGTGTCCAGCCACTCCAGCACAGGCTATCCCAG